GGTGAACAACACCATTGTGTAACGTGCTGCTTCTTCTCCAAACATTTCCTGAATGATTTTCAATGATTCTTGTTCTTCTTTTGTGAACCCTGTCGGTTGGATCACAACCAGGATCGCATGAGGACCAGGAGCCGCAAGAGAAATACACTTAGCTATCTCTTTCACCAGCTCTTCATTGCTTTTATTGGGGTCAAACAGCCCTGGAGTATCAATAACATCCAGGATTTTATCACCAAACACTCGAGTTCCCTTCTGAAAATCTACCATCACTCCTTTAGAAGAAGTCTTAAAACATTTCTCCCCTAGGATGGTGTTTCCTGCTGAACTCTTTCCAGTTCCAGTTTTTCCAACAAGAACCATCCTGAGTTCTTCTTTCTTTTGTTCTGTAGAAGAATTAGAGGAAAACATTTACTGAAGAACACTTTAATAAAATAGTTGATGAATGAAAGCTCCTTTGTGCCTGAACAGGAACCAGACACACAAAAGTATAGACTCCATAAACAAATCTGAGTGCAAATTTCTCCTGTGTAACCATGATACCCCTCTCCGCGTATCAGATAAATTAGCTTTTTAGGTCTTTGGATGAAGAAAAGTCATTGTTGTGTTCAAAGAGCTCAGAAATCTCCGCTTTTCCTGCTTTTTTACTGTTTAAATCTAAAGGAAAATGCTTTTAGACATTTTCCACCAATCATTTTCTGATTGTGGAATTCAAATGTTGTAAATAAGTCACTTAGACCCTAAGAATCAAATAAAATAAAAAACATTTAATTAAATCTGTAAACAGACATATTGAATCTAAAGATAAACCCACTGAGCCTCTATGAATAAAAAACTACCTGAACCAGAACAAAGTCTAGTTCTTAAACTGATCAGCAGAAATCAGGGGTTTATCTGTAACATGCCTCCAGTGTAACAATCATACCCCTCTCTGTGTATCAGATTAACATTTATAAACAGAAATGCTTAATGCCGTCTAGCCTAATGTTGCTTATTGTGTTTAAGTAATGATGACTCATTTCACTGGAAGTCAGATTATGAACACAAGAACAGAGTCCCATCGTTCCTGTTTATTTTGGACAGAAAAAACAATGCTGTTGATGTCAGAAAGACTGTAGCCAAGCTGGGTAGACGTGCCCGTTGACATTCTTTAATTGTCTAAAAAAAACACCTTGCTTTACAATGCAGATGCATTCATGTTAGTTTAGTGGCAAACAGATTCTGAGTTACTTTCTTTTCTCTAAAGCTGCCACTCAGAAATATGTTTACTCTGATTCCTGTTTTTACCGTCTGGTGGTTAGAAGTTAGACTGATTTAATCTGAACAGATGAGGCAAAATATGATGTGCTTTTGTTTCAACAGCAGATGTAATAAAACACTTTATAGACCAGTTTAACTCAGAAACGGATAATTAAGGAAATATGGAAACCAAACACCCCACCACAAATTTGAAAGACCGGTCCACAGAAAGGGACCGTGGTTCAGTTTATCTGCATTTCAGTTCGTCCCTACAAAAGACCTCCATTTGATCTGGTTTGAGCCTTTTAAACAGACAGAGGTTTCATTATGTTTTTCCAGTTTTTGTATAAATTTGAAACGGAATATTAGACTTGGAAAAACTTGTGCAGATCGAGGAAAGTACAAATTTTTGGAAAAAGTAAAACTCTAACGATGTGATTGGGCAGACTAATGAATAATCTTTCTTTAGAGCAGAAAATATATAAATAATGTTAATATTTCTGATTTTGGACATGGTGTTACAGTAGGCCTCAAACAAGACACACAAAAAACCAAAAATATATTAAAAGTTCATGTAATTCTCCAAACTTTTGATGAGTTTTCAAACATGTAAAAGTTAAAAATATAATTACCTGGAGAACATTTGCTGCTGGCCATGTTTGTCTTTGACAGGACGGTTTGCTGCTGATGTCTTGATGTCTATTTAAAGAAGAGTTTCACTTTTTGACGCTTTAAATCTGCTCTGAGTCTCCTCCTTCGTATTCTGTCCAGCCCACTCGTTTTGTTTT